TGCAAACTACATGCAGTTGCTGTCCTTGATAGACACCAAGGCTACAAAGACAAGCGTAGTATTTAGCCACCATGCTTTCCACCAGAGCTGAAAATAATGCTCTTTGTTAGCAAAACAGCAAAATCACAACTGTTTCTTTTTTTGGCTTACCAGACAGTCATATGTGTGCTCAAAAGTACAGCTTCTGTTATACCATTTAAGTCTTTTGTTCTGATAATCTGCTGAAGCTTTCACATATTCATCCATCAATGCTATTAAAATATCATATGTAAACCAGTTTATAAAAATTATGTAATATATCTTTACAGGTCCTTTAATTAATTACACTCTGTTCTCTTCTGAAACTGATTGGCCTCATAGCTAGAGACTCTGGAAAGATTTAATGCATGTCACTGCAATAAAGTAAACTTCTGGGCCATGGTATGATGATAATCAGAGCTGTGGGGAACTGGGAAAGAACAGTTTTTGATTATAATGTGGCCAAGTTTCAAAACAGGACTTCTTACCAGGTGCAGCCCTCTAATTTTATAAATAGGCCCACGCACTCTGCTGGCTTCTGCTGCTGGAATTCAAATGAAAAACACTATTCCAAATGTGTTCACAATTTTACCTAGGCTGAATTAATGGCACTTCAGATTTAACTTTGAAACCTCTCCCACCTCTTCAGGGAGCCACCTCACAGCCTCGCAAGTCTGCGCTTTCCCAGTAGGGGGAAAAGCCTCCCAATTAAGGAGGCATTTCAAAACTGCTGACAAAATGCAATATTGAGATATGTATAAATATTTCATATGATGCTTGAAAGTTTGCTTGAGCTGTCTGGCAATCTTTCTTTCAAATGGAAAAGAAAGTCGTGATGCCAAACACATAATGTAATAAAAACACAGACTAAACTTCAATTCACTTACCTACGATTTGTGACATGTGTGGTATTTAAAGGTTTTCACTTTTGCAGTTTGGTTAAACTTTTGATACTTTGCTAAATAATACATAAAAAATATGTAAGATCTAAGTAAAAGAAGCTTGAGTGATGATATTTTGAAGAGTAGAAATTAAGTAGTATATCCACGAAGACAAATTAGCCCACTTACTAAACACTAAGGCAGTATGTACGTTTTACTCTACTGCAAGGACAGTACATTGTACTAATAGTTTCTGCTTTAGGTGGATACTGGAGCTTTACATGTTTCTTAAGATCAAAGATATATCCAAATACCCCCAATCAAATTACAGTGGTCATAAACCCCAGAGTAGATTCGCCAAAGTAATATAAAAAGAAAATTGAGTTGGTTGCCTGGCCACAGTTCCTGAGAAAATGCCAGTCAATGTATATTTGGGCAGAAGGAGCAGATGTCCAAATGCAAATTTTCTCTGTTGCATCCCCAAATATTTCAAGAAAACAGTAGATTAATAAATCTACTAACATCCACTTACAAATGATTTCCCAGTGTTCAATTTCCTTTGCTTTATGTTGAGTTGTCTCTTAAGACAAGCTTTCCTTTGACAAGCATTTTGGTTTGTTTCAGGTGAGGTGCAGATTACAATAGACAGGTGCTCCATAAGTTGCACTATGAAAAGGAAGGACTTGCAGCTGTTTAAAGTGTTAGCTTAAATTGTATCTAAAGCCAGTTTTTACAGTGGGGAATGGTTAAGACCCTTGACAAATAGCAAGGCAGAATCTCACACAAATAAAAAACTGACAGATTATTTTAACACTTCCCCACTCTATTCAAAACTATAACAAAACATTTTTTTTAACTTTATATACATTTTAACTGATAATATTTGTATAGCACTGCAACAGAACTTCAGAGCTTGTTCACATACTGTATGTGCTAGATGCAGAAAAGTATCCAGCATTCACATTTGGATGACATTCCAACCACACTCCAAATGCTCTGTGTGAGATGGAGGCCAGAAAAGCGAAGATGAAAAAACTCTTACCTGCTGAACACATACATAATTAATGAGTCAAATAGATTCAGTGATTGGGGGACACACAATGACAAACGGAAACTTGCACAAAACAGGAAGTTGGGACAGTGTGCAGATCAAAAACCTGTCTAAAGAAACAACTCCCAAAGCTGGAATTGGAAGAAGCCTGAATAACCACTTTGACTCATCAGTCAGTCCAGAGCACCTGCTGCCATTTTTCTGCACCCCAGTTCCTATGTTTTCATGCATAATTGAAACGCTTAGCCTTGTTTCCACATCAGAGGTATGGCTTTTTGGCCACAGGGCCGTAAAAAAAAAATAGCAGCAGGTGCTCTGGATGGATGAGTCAAAATTTGAAATATTTGGCTGCAGCAGAGGGAGTTTGTTTGCTGAAGGGCTGGAGAGCGGTACAATAATGTGTCTGCCGCAACAGTGAAGCATGGTGAAGGTTCCTTGCAAGTCTGAGGCTGCATTTCTGCCAATGGAGTTGGAGAGAAATGGAGAAATGCAGCAGATACTTATGCATACCATCCGGGAGGCATGTGATTAGGCCCAAATTTATTCTGCAGCAGGGCAATAACCCAAACATACAGCCAATTTAATCACGAACCATCTTCAGCGTAAAGAAGAACAAGGAGTCCTGGAAGTGATGGTTTGACCCCCACAAAGCCAGGATCTCAAGATCATCGAGTCTGTCTGGGATTACATGAAGAGACAGAAGGATTTCCTTCCTTTCCTTCCTCTTCCTTTTAAATCTGTATCTCTTCTCATGCTGGGCAGAACTTCTGTTTTGACGCAGACTGTATGTCTGCCTGATCCAGCCAGCCCGCCCGGATCGCCGCTATGCGATCCGGGCTGGCTGGATCAGGCAGAAGCGCCCTCTGATCAGGCACTGTAGAGGGCCGCCCCCAGTGGCCTCGGAGGAGTGAGCGGCCGCACGAATGACAGAGCCGGGTGCATGTGGCAAAGAGAGGGAGCCACTGCATCTGCGGCCAGGAGCTTCGTTTAGCTGGAGTCGGTGATGGCACCCCCCCCCTCAGTCCTGCGCCCGGGGCTAGCGCTCCCCCTGCCCCCCCGGTTGTTGCGCCACTGGCCAGCACTATAGGAAGAGGCACTTAGCTGCAAAGGGAAGTTCTCTCCCAGCATGAGAAGAGATACAAATTTAAAAGGAAGGGCAGCAAAGAGAAGGGAAACAACCATGGATTACAGTAAGGCACAAATTACAGTATTGGTGTATGTTAAAAAATCTGAGGGTTTAATGTCACTTTAAGTTAAATCTAGTGCCCCAAAACACTATATAAAACCATTTTTTTGTACAATATAAAAGATGAGATTACAACAAGTAAATAGATATCCAACATGCCCAGTTTAAAAATTGTGTTTTTAAACTGTGTCCGTGAAACTGCAACAGAATTCAGTACCCGAAAAAGTCCATACACAACGCTTTAAAAACCCCTACAGTTCATCAGTTTATAGATAAAAGTAAATATTGGCCCCAGAATTATTGCTTTCACTCTGGTGTGCGCAGCGATACCCAACATGTGTAGCGGGATCATTGTTTTCATACGTAGGTTCACCCGACGCGTGTTTACGTGACGACACGCGTGCTTACTGGGACGGGGGACTTTAAAAATATTTTTATTATTTTTACATTTAATTTATTTTATATTATTTTTAAAACTTTTGTTAACTTCACTGTAATTGCTATCACATGGGGGGGGGGAGGGGGGAGCTTACAATGCCCCATGTGATAGCAGATTGGTGGTGACAGGTACTCTTTAAGGTGATGCTGGGGGTCCAAGAGACCACTAGTATCGGCTTTACACTCCATATAAGCTATTGAAGAGCAGATCACACTTTATTAGCTTATAGCTGGGCTTCAGGGGCCCAGCACTGACAGCTATGGGACCGGAAGTAATGCAATACGCGTCGCTCCCGGTCCCATAGTACGGGGAGGAAATTGGTGAACGGACGTTTACCGTTCTCCTCCCCAGCTTCCCCCCGACACATGTCAAGCTGGTCCTGGGCCCGTAGGAATGGCAGCGGAGCCCAGGAAACAAGGCAGGGGTGTAGGGCAAGGGGGTGGCCCGGTTACCAAATCGTAGAAGCAATCTGGTGGCAGCTAAGCCGCCAGAATTACTTCTACTGTAAAGCATTATATATATATATATCTATATCTATATACACACATACACACATAGACAAATACAAATACCAGAAATGAATTGTAACATACATGCACATAAAAATTATATCCCCATCCCATTCATGGAGAAGTCTAATTTTTATTTTGTAGAAGAGTTAGAATCTCTGTCCAGCTTTTATTGCTGTGTACCCACTGGGGAGATTTTCCCCCCTACATTCTGCCTCAGGTGGCACCAGTTATTGGGATAGAATAAGAAAGGGATGTCATTGGATAAAATAACATGTTTATATTTTCTGTATCCTTGTAGGAGACATTTATATCACTGCCTGTTCCACATGGTATGGGATTATTTTGCTAATAAGAACACCGGTTTGTGAAAAATAATTTCCTGGAACCATGGAACCCATGCACTAAACCCGACCTCCAAGTCAAACCTTTGTCATGCCCCCACCCTATCCCACAGCACAGTACATGTGCCTCCCTACAAATTGCCAAAGTGAACCACATTGTATAATGTGGTGGGCATGCCAGAGCTCAAGTCAGTATTTACATATGTCATGCAGCAAGGTTTGGGGGCTCTGGGGACAAGCAGATTGCATTAAAAACCAACAGTATGTATAGACACCTTGTTCCTACTGTTATCAAGTAATAATCAGTTATTTGTTCATTTTAGAGAATTGAACATTTTGAAAAATGAATCTTAAAATACTTCTCATGTTCATCCAAATAAAAGTTTTTTTTTAAAGTGTATTGCTGAGAAAACAAAATGAGCCTTGGAAATAGAGAGCTGCTGTAGACAAGAAAAAAAAAAACTCAACTGTAACATAACACCATACTGATGACCAAAAGAGATTTTAACTGTTAAAAAAAATGGTTTGAACAATGCAGAAAATGATGTGCAGCATTTATCAATTTTACTTACTTTTGTTCTTTGATCCACTGATTAACATTTGCAGCCACAAATTCACTTTCTCGATGGAGGCGACTGTTGTCAGTTTGTGTTGCTTCTAGAGCTTGGCATAGGATTTCCAGCTGTGGAAGTAGACAGATCAAAGAGTATGATGGACTCCCTAGAACAAGGGCTATCTGGAATACTAATAATAGTCTGTAATACTTGTAAAGAATCAAGTCATTTTTCTCCACTCCTTCAAATAATCATGGTTTCCTTGTACATGCTATTAATTGATTCAATATGCGAGATGGAATGTCTGAACCTTTCCCACGCTTTACATTTACCAGTTTACTATAATATGCATTACTTTACCTCCAGAGGTTGTTTAATTCAAATCAGGCTTATTTGATGAAAAATGAAAAGAGAGCCGTTACAACTTGTTATGTTTAAGCCTCGGTTCTTGGTTAATGTGTGCCGTATGATATGTTTTTCATAAAGAAACCATTTGCAGTTGAGGTGTATCTTTCAAACCTATTACAAGCAGAAGCTGGGCAAGACGAAAGAAGAATTATTTTGGCTTAGCCAGAGAAATAGGATTATAAGTATGTACTTTTCATTATCACTGAAGTTGTTCTAGGGAAGGCAGTAAAAAAAAAGCTGCAAATAGAAGGAGAAAAATATTCTTTGTGTTTCATGTACAGAATCTCCATCTGTCTATAGACACCAGTTTACATCCACAGATATCCCTGCATGACAGTTCTCTATGGGGATAGTCAGGGGTTGTGTCGAACTGTCGAACTTTTAGCCAATCACTACTTTTCTTCACATAAGCCTCTATCATGCATGTGCTCCACCCCTCCCCCTCCACGGCAAACATGCTTAGTTGACCAGAGTAAACATGCTTTGGGAAAGATCTTTCAAAGAAATGATCTGTTGGTGGTTGCAGTGTGTCGGCTTGCCCTCTGATATCTGGAGCAAGCACGGTACACAAGTGGATCTCAAATTGCCTACATCTCCGGCCTAAATGTTTTTTCTGAGTTCTAGGAAGAATGCAGAAGGATTTGTCAAGTTTTTACTGCTCTCTGGGATGCTACAGGCAGATTTACCCTCACATCATGCCAAGGTTTTTACCAGGTCAGAAATTCATAGGGAATCTGGGAATCTTCAAAAAGAGTACAGACAGCAAACATATCTATTTTCTTTTAGAAGAGTAAGATAATTGTACATTCTCAGTAAGCTTTCTATTGCTAAGTGTTACCTTTGCATGGTTTCCCTTACTTCCTGCCTTGTGATAATGTTGTCACCAAAACAGGAAGTGAGGATAAATCTCCCCTTTAAACCTTTCAGATGTTCTAATGATTCCCTGCTCTATTAAAAAAAAAACAGTTTTTACAGTTACCAATGGCATAGTAACAGAGGCAGGAGAAGGGGTGTTCTGACTCGCTGACCCTCCTAATTCAAGAATATTTATTTCTATCCACTCGCTGTGCTTACATGACATGTCTGTCATTTTGTCTCCCTTTTAAATCAATATTTGTTGGAGCATTAAAAGCATTATCTTTTTCTATATCTACACCTGATATTATGAAGAAGACTGCAGTGGGGGCCTTAGCAGCTATTGGGATGGGGGAAAAAAAAAGCAAATCCAAGCAATCAGAAAGTGGATACAATATGGGTCAGAAAGCGAATTCCAACTGCCCTTTACTAGCACATATAAGAAAATTCCTGGTTCACACCAAGTTGGCAACATCAAATCTTAGTTACTTCCCCGCCTGTTATCAGGGTTGTGATGACCCCATCATCTACTTTCTTACCTTAAAGTCTGCTCCATCACTTATTCATTTTGGGCTGCAATCCCCTGTATTATTCTAACTTTATTGGGCAGAATATTAACTGTTAAACTTATGCGCCTCAACAATATCCTATTTAAATTGCTACACGCATCAATAGAACCAATGAGTAAACTATTGCCAAGGCATGGACCACATCAGTGTGGCTGAAACCAAAAAACAGACTTACAAATATAATGAGGACCATAAGACAATAGAAGTGAAATTGCATGGGAGAATCCCAAAAATGCTAACCACATGGCAACCCCCGAGTTGATAAATTCTTACCACCTAATTTTGACTGCACCCTACTGTATAGTAGGGTTTCATGACCCCTCCTTAACTGAGTGCAGGTCGCACCTTCCTCCTGGTCTCCTGGAACCTACCTAACACTCCCCTGCTCCCCTATCCATACGTATGCCCTAATCTCACCCCCACATGGGTCTTTATGTCGTTATTTCAGTTCTGAGGCCACATCACTGCCACCCTAAAGGTGGCTATACACCTTACAATTATCGTTCAATTTTCTTTGTCCTGTCATCGCACCCTTGTTTAATTTCCGCTCAAATAGCCCATCATGCACAGACCAATCTAGATTTCTATAATCGTTCATCAGCAATACTAACTGGCCAAATTTTGTCAATCAACAGAACAGATTTTTGTTTGCGCATGTGCAGTGTTCATGTTGCGATTTTTGTTGTACGAAAGCGCCACTAGTCCAACGATTTTTGTCTGTTGTGATGAAAGTTTTCTAGTCTGCCTGTTAAACCAAATTCTGCCAGTTGTACCGTAATTGTGATCGAGCACTTCCTATCAACTGGCCCATTATCACGTTCGTTTTTCGTACAATAATTCCAAGGTGTATGGGCACCTTTATGATAGAGGATCTTTGGAGAACCAACCACTATGTGTCTTAATTGGCAGCAGGAACTGAAATGCCCCTTGTTGCTTTACAATCCCTCCTCTGAACACATTACAAATAACCTTTTTCCCATGATTTTTTAAGTTAAAATTCTAACGTGTAATTTTAAATTATATACCCAGTCTTGCTGTGTAAAAACATGCTAAAAAACCTGAAAATAAAATTGTTAAACAAGAAGCTCTGGGTCTGAAACAACCCCTGCCTCTTACTCCCCTTAAATACATACATGGGAGTAGTTTCAGCTGCCAGAGGATTTCCATTGCTTTCCACCTAGTCCTAATATTTACACAGACCTGCCTGACAGCACAGCCAGCCTAGTGACATAACGTTTCTCTATTGCAGGCAAGTAACATAGCTTGGTAACCTCCTTAGCCTGCAAATGGACAGTGAAAGTGTAGAAATAGATTGATGAGGTCATCTCTCCGTCTCACTTTGTTAACATGTGCCTTATCATAACAAGGTAAAGCTGAACTCTAGAAAAACTCCCTGTTGCAGTGAGGGCCCCTTCCCCAAAGCAACGGTTAACTGCTTGTTTTACATAGGGGAATAGGAAAAAAAGTTAAATACCTTATTACCCACTCCCAAAGGCTATCTCTTCTTCTTAAAACTGTTCCTCTGAAACCCCAATTTTTTGCTTCTCAAGTGGTTGAAGCTCTCGGAAGTAATTGACCTTATTCAACATCCACTAGACAAAATAATAATGTAACCCCTGCAGTGCAGTAACTTTTTCTCCAGCCCAGAGTTTAGCTTTAATGCTGCACACCTGATTGGCCTTAAGTACTGCCCCTCCCTCTTCCATTCTGAGTAATGCTTTAAAAGGTTTTGGCCAAGATATACTACAAACATTTCTTGGATGTTAACAAATTCCAAATTTAAATTTGGCTGGGACAACATCTTACCAAAGATTATTCCTTCTAGTCCTCTAATTTTCTACTGAAACCCTCATGCTTTTTCTGAACCTGTCTTGTCTTCTGCATGGTGTCTGCCACCATCCCTGGCTTAAACCTGTTACCCAGTTTCAATTTTTTTGTCTCCAGCCCTGATCTCTATCTGGATCATGCCTCTACCCACACAGTGCCAGCCCTAAATATTATTTGTTTCCCTGACTTTGCTTTTGCCTGTCAGTCGCCCTTGTTGCTGACATCAATATGATGGCAGCATCATACAGATAAACACATGCTTCCTTGCAATGTTTCCTGGTGAAGTCAGAATACTCCTTTCACAGCATACCTTATTATGGGATCCCACAACTTCTCCTTGCAACACAAAGACATCTTTAAACAGGCATTTTCCCCATTAAAGTCTGTTCTGAAATAAAATCTCTGACCATACCAAATCAGATCAACCAACAATACCTTTTTTTACTACTCTGAGAAGCCTTTAGGCAGATTTAGCCATCATGTGGTGGACAACTAAAGTGCATCTTCCAGCCAGGCATAATGCTAAATACTGCCCAATTATATGCCATTTATCAACAGAGACAATCTAAAATGACCTCGATGCCCGATAGTAAGCATATACCTGTACATTATGTGAGCACTTCTGCCAAATGCTTCCTTCTATACATACAATGATTGCCTAGATTTAAAAACCTTAGTAAATATCTAAAACAATTAATCTCTATCTTCATACTAAACAAGATCTATCTCTATGTAGGAATATAAAACAAAGTATATGCGGCAAAGAAAACTGTAACTGCGTGTAACTTCTGACTTTCCAAATGCTTAATCTGTGATTCCTGATCTCCAGTATTATACAGAGATAGCAAGATTACTCCTCTGCTTCCTGTAAAGGATGCCTTGCTTGTCAGTGTCATTCTTTGCATGACTGATGACATCATACATATTCACTAGGTACATCAAAGAAATTGCAGTCTAGGAAAAATGATGATGTTGGAACTGGCCAAAGTCCCCTGCAGATATCTTAGTATGGGAAATTTAGTCAGTAGGCCTTGTGGAAAAAGAATATATCATAGTTCCAAGATGAAAACACTCTGAGTGACTCTTTTAGGTCCATCATGCTAGATAGAGAAATTAGGACTAAGCAGGGCTCATATGTCCATAATAGCACCTTTTTTGCCATATCAGACGAACGAGATAAAGCAATCCCTGTAATCAATTAGTTGCCATAAATTGCTAGGAGAACATGAACTGCTGGTGGATGAAATAAAGAATTCATACTTAAAACGATTAGTCATTCTGAGAGTTTGACAAGCTGTTGATGAATCTTCAAAGGATTGAGGAATAAGATTATTGGGTCATAATTTATTGATAAGACCTATGTTGTATCCAGCATTGTCCCTTCCGGGCAAAGGTTTTCAATGAAGATATCAATCTCCTTTTTAAATTTCAGGTCTTGAGTATTATCCCATTTAGTGTATATGCTGAAAAGCAAATAATAAGCTTTGCATCTAAAGGGACCAAGTGATAAATACTGTAAGCCCAACATTGACTTTGTTCTTGACATACAATTACTACACGTGAACAGAATGGCTCAGCCCCAAATTGCTTTGTATATACATACATCCCATTATGGTATTTCATTATTTTATTGCAAAGAAAAATAGTGAAATTAATTCTTTAGATTGCAAATTTGTCAAAATTCAATCTATTTTGAAATTATTTAAAAAAAATTATCTTTTCAAATTGTTCAATAAATTGTTAAAAGAACATGTAAAAAAATAATGCATGTCTTTTTTAGTTGCTGTGTATTTTAGTGTCTTAAGAAAAAAATACATCTAGGCCTTCTCTTATTATGTCATATACAGACAAAACTATTTTGTAGTAATACACATACACAAAATCATATAAAAGTACAGAGTAGATTGTTTTTGCTTGTTCAATTGAATAGAAAAAAAAGATGTAATATATTTATATGAAAATTATGACAAATAAGAATGTATTCATTAAGTGCAAAGTACAATAACCCATAGCTCATCTTTTAAAGATAGCATTGGAACAGTTCGAAGTCTGGGAAATGAGTGTTTATGTTGGGTAGGTTGATCCCCAGTTTTAAGGAGTGTTTGTAAAGCTTGTGAACGGCTATACGATGTTTCTTCCCTCTCCAAAGGAATTGCAGGAAAGAGTTGGTGATGGTTTTGATATCCTTATGTCGGAAGAGAATAGGCAATATTTGCGTGGGGTACAAGAGGCGAGGAAAGCTTAGCATTCTGATGAGATGACCCCTGCCCAGTAAGGATAGCGGAAGGTCTCTCCATTTCTTTAGATCCTGGGTCATTGATTTTAGGAGGGGAGAAATATTCATTGAGTATAGATTAGTGGCTGAAGGCGGGATATGGATTCCCAGGTAGGTGATGTGGTGTGTCTGTGCTAACAGCCAACTTGACCGAGCTGCCTCGGAGGGGTGATGTTTAAAGAGGAGGTAAGATTTTCTGACCTCAAGACAAGCCGCCTTGTATTCTTTTTTAGCCATTTTCTTTTTTGTGGCTGCATAGGCCAAGATCCTGCCTATAGTACTGCCTTGGCAGTTTCCCAGAACAATATATAATCGTTAAAGTGTTGGGCATTATCAATACAATATTTGCGCCACCAGTTTTTAAGATCATTACAAAATTTGGTGTCAGATCCCAAGTATGTGGGGAATCTCCAAATCACAGGTGGAGTGGAGCAAATCAGACCCTGCAGGGATACCACAATCGGTGCATGGTCTGATAATATCATATCCTCAATACAAACCGACTCTATTTTGTGAACTGTAGATTGTGCATCAAGGAACAGGTCAATCCTGGAGAAACTGTTGTGAGCATGGGAGTAGTAGGTAATATCCCGTTCCAGGGGATGGTAGAAGCGCCACACGTCTTCCAGGCCACAGGCAGATAACACAGATGCCAAATGTTTGTCTTGTGGTGTCCAAGTAGCACTCGACCCATCTGTTCTCCTTCTGTCCTCAGGAGGAGATGGAACCGCGTTGAAATCTCCTCCTACCAAAAACAAGGCGTCTGGGTGTCGAGAGGTTGCTTTGTTGAGTAAGGAATCGCAGAAGCTCTTGTTGTTTTGAGTTCGGACCATAGACATTTAGGAGGTCCAATTGTCGGGAGCCTATGCGCATTGAAAGTAAAGACCACCTGCCCTCTTTAGTGTCCTGTTGATGTTGAAGGACTTCGTGGGGGAGTTGTTTGTGAACAAGTGTAATTACTCCAGCCTTCCTCCCGATAGCCGAAGCTCCAAATACTGACTTGACTCATGATTTCTTGAGGCGATGAAAGTCATCACTGGACAGGTGAGTTTCCTGGAGGAGCGCTATATCTGCATGCAGTTTCTTTAGATGACGTAGAATTTTTGACCTTTTATGTGGTGATCTCAGACCTTTCACATTCCAGGAAATTATTTTCAGGGGGGGTCCCATTGAAGAACTGTGGATGTGGAGTACCAGAAAGGTGTAATCGTTTTCTTAGAGATTATGTGAGAGTTAGGTGTCCCAGTGCCCCAAGTCTCACTAATGGAAGCAAGTCCCGCAAAATTAAGGGTGTAACGTTCAGAGTCAGGGTACTGTCTGTGAACTGTATGGGCAGGGGGGCCCCGTGACCAATCCCCTGCAACCATATCTGATAAATGCTCTGATCCAAAAATTAGTTAAAAAAAACTGGTATGAACAAACAAAAACCTGCAAATAGCATTAACAAGTAAAATAGCAAATATCTGGTGTTTGACTTCCTTTTTTCCCAAGAGGTCGCATTTGGCTCACAAGAGGCACAGCGTATCCCTGGTATTCTGGGCGTGCTTGAGGCCTTCAACATCAAATAGCCTTCAAATATTTCAAAGGTTGAATCCTCCATCCCGCCGGACGAATGAAATGATTTCTAGTGCACCATGACCCCTCACGGATTAGCATCTGATCTTTTCTTCCGTGGGGGGCTCTTAATAGGTGATGAAGAGCTGGTAGGTGCCATGTTGTGAAGAAAGGCATGTGCTTTTTCTTGAGAGGAGAAAGAGGTTACCGTTCCATCTGGACCTGTAATGCGCAGGGTGGCAGGATAAGCCAGCGCGAATTTCACCTTTTGGTGTACTAGTGCTTGGCAGACCTCTTGAAATGATTTTCTGCGTTTGGTGAGCTCCGCTGAGTAGTCCGCAAACATTAAGATTTTGTGACCACCTGCCACCAGGTTCCTCTGTGACCTATACGATTGAAATATTTGGTGTTTGTCAGCAAAGTTTAGGTAGCGAACTATGACCGGTCTAGGTCTATTATCATCTCTGTGGGGACCCAGCCTGTGGGCCCTTTCCACTATACAGGGGTGAGAGAAGCCCAGTGCCCTGGGGATTGCCTCTGCACAAAATGGTATCAGATCTGCTGGTTTTACCGACTCAGGCAGGCCAATTACTCGCAGGTTATTTCGGCGAGATCTATTTTCCATATCGTCTAACTTTTCCGAAATCGTGAGTATTTTATGTGAGGCGGCCTTAAGGTATGTACCGTTGTCAGTTATGCCACATTCTAAGCTGTCGGTACGTTGTTCTATGGAGGACAGCCTTTTGTGGTGAGAATCAATGGTAGAGGATAAAGTACCCAGGTGTAATTTGATGGCTTCAGCCACTATGTTAGATATGTCATGTTTTAGGTGGGAGGCTACTTCAGAGGCTAACTTAGAGTAGTCAATGGGGCAGAGAGGCTGTGTAGACGAAGAGGATTGTATCTGCATATCTTCCCTCAGAATCCTCTGTGGCACTGTGTATCGTTTCAGCAGCAGCAGCAGCAGCCGGCGCCATTTTGGCTGCAGTGATTTCTCCCCCTATGCTGTCTGACAATGAGCGGCGAGCGGACGGCGTCCGCGAAATAAACTTTTCCATGTTTGACAGCGGGGGTGTTGTGTCAGCTGGGCGGTGCCTATTCATATGGCGAGGTGCTAGGAATTGTCAGACGGGTGTACAGCGGGACGGAGGAGACGGGAGAGCCGTTACCTCATCGGGCGCCGGAACCGGAAGTCTCAGCTCATCTTTTTTAAGTAATCTGACAATATTAATATGAAATGTGTTTTTTTTTATCTTAGGTTACTGCACTTTCCAGATCATTAATTTTCTTTGCTTTGCCTTACATAATGGTTCCAGATATATATGATACATGCAAAAGTGTACACAGTTTTCTGAGCTGTAGCAACATGGGAACGAAAAAAAAACCGTTTGGTATAAAAAAGTTAGGGTGAATATATGTAAAAGTTTCATGAGAACTTCAGAACGGCAGTTAATTAGGATGAAAATAGTATTCTGCTCTTGTACATTTTCCCTAGAGTGCTAACTCCTTGTCCAGTAGTCATGGCAAGCTGCCATTTATTGTATAAATAATCATATAGAAATGTAAAGGAATATATACCTGGGCACACAAATGTCCCCTAGGTCCACTGTATCTGAGTGCAGCAACTAGGAAAAGATTTGAGGCAGCACAACCAAAATGCGCTTTAAATGGTGATTCCATTGTTAACAAAAAAAAAATATTGCAGAATAAAAAGTTAAAACAACTGTCATCTTCTCACGCTTCTCAAATCTCTACACCAAAAAAACGGTTCTGCTGCTTTGCTGACAACAGCTTTGGTCAAACACTCACACATGCCATTTACTTTATCTGTCTTCACACCTAACTAGTGGTAAAATGCCACACGTACGGTAGGTGCCAAAGGAGCCACACTGCAATGCACCACAACACATTGGTTGTGTGCTGTGAAGCACTAAATTAGAAAAAGTGCAAGTCTATTTTTTTTCATCCTTTGCCATGCATGGACAGTCCATTCTAACTGCATAGACTACCTTGACACAACGCAGCTTAATGTGTGTGCAGTAATAAAATGCTGTAGTGTGAAGGGGGCCTTACATAACAATGAGTGCAGCAGAAGGAGGACGACACCCTAGCTTGGGTTTCCAATGACTGAGGACAGAGTAAGGAATAACTTTGAAATAGACCTGGCCTTGTAGAAAATAATTACAATTTGCTTTCTTGGTTTTCTTGACTACTTTAATCATCTTTTTACAAATACATGCATCAGTGATGAAAGACCATGAACATATTGAAGCATTTCAAAGATAACAGTAATATACAGGTTAATAAGTGTAATGATTTAGAAAATAAATGCAAATCATTTTATATACAGTATGTATATTTTTCATTATTGACTGCTCTGCTGTTGTAAAGGGCACCTTTCAGAACATGCAGCAAATATGGTAGTTAGGCTGTATGAAATATTGGCTAACAGTACAACATTTTCTTTGAACTTACCTCCCTCTGTGCACTAATGTATTTCTTATCTGAAGTTTTCAGTTCATTTTGCAAATTTGCCACCTAAGAGATATATGGATCAGTTATAAAACAAACTTAATTATATATAAATAATTCTCATGCTGCTTACTAATACATATCATCTGCTCATGACAGTAGTATGGTACCTTATTCAATCATGCTGGCTACATGGTTAAAGTTCCTGTACAATATATGCAAGCAAAAGCTTTTTATTTTTAATATTGGCATGGGGAGGGTTAGCCCCAGTCAACTTTTGTATTGCTGCCTGTGCCCTCATTGGGGAGCTTTACCCATTTGCTTGTCTTGATGATTATAGTCACCAAGACAGAAAGATAAGGTAATCCAAAATGTTTGCTTTGTCCCCAGAACAAAAGATAAGGGGAGATCTCCTAATGGGGACACCAGTTTGAGGACAACTTTCTAAAAGGAATTCCCCTCACCTTGGAAGATTTTCTCTAACTTCCTGTTGCGTCTCTGGAGCAGGAAGTGGGGGGAAATTTTCCCAGTGGTACAAATACAGAAAAAATAAACTGGTAGGGAGTTTAATCCTTCCATACTCAAAAAAGATTGCCATAAATATAAGGGGGTTTAACACCGCGGATGTCAACTGGTTAAATGAGCCGGAAGGTCCTGGCACAGAAACTGCAGTGAAAGAGTTAGCATTTCATTTATCCTGAATTCCTGCTTTTTATAACGGTATAAAAACATCTGTGTACACAGGCACTAGGACACCAACATTAAAACCACCAGCATCTGGGATTTAGCTGCCTGAGAAACTCCAGACAGCAAAGTATGTCATTTGTTAAGTCCAGTAATTACTAATAATCCAGAACTGTTGAAGGCTTTGACTTGATTCCTCATTCAAAGAACACTGCAGGTAAAAAAGAGAAGATTTAAACTAAACCAAAACACAATTTCTCCACATTTAGAAGGAGTTACAAGTAGGGCACTAGGTAGCTCATAACTTCTAAATGGTCTTTAAGGCTAGTCCATTTTATTCTATAGGGTCTTGGCATTCAGAAAATATATAATGTTGGGGGGTTTTACGTCATTTTCAGGCCTAAAATGTGGAATATAACATGGGTGCAAAAATTTAAAAAAGGGCCTCAGTCATGAAGGGGTTAAGGAGCAATGGTGTATGCCTTGGGTCTGTTAGAACAGAAATCATACCAACAGACTAGATTTGTTTCTTCATATTCTTTTCCGGGTTTTCTTTTGCCAATTACTTTCTCAAAAGGATGGTGGGGCCCTGGGCTCACTTATGTCTTAAAGCAAAAGTGTAACCAGGTAGCTAAATTTTCAGCTGCAATATGTAAGTGTAAACTATCTCACCTGCCAAAAAATTGTGTCATTTTGTTCAGTTCATTTTTGTAGCTGAAACATTCCCAGCAGACAGACCTTCCCTACTGTAGTTAAAGTCACATGGCTTGGTCAAGGATTTTCTTACCTAGTTGTAAACACATTGATGAGGTCAACTCTGAGCTCTACCTGTCAGGTAAGTCCTTGTGCATTCATTCTTCCTGTCTGTACAGGGAACTACAGGAACATAATACAAAGACAGACTGACTAACGGGGCTATTCCCTAAGCTGCCAAAGTGAACTGAGCAGAACGGCGTTCAGCTTTTCACTTCGGCTCTGTACGGCTGATTCCATCTGTACATCGGCTAAAATCAGCCGTACAGAGGCTGCCTTTGGCTGGCTTGGGTCAGCTGAAGTGCAGAAGCTGTTTGACTCAGCCGATCCAAAATCTGGATCAGCTGAGCCGAACCTCCGGCATTTCACTCCCTACCGTTCACCCCTATTCTCAGGGGTCCCCCCTGAAACAGCACCCTGTCCCCGTGCCAATGAATGAGTAAGGGGGTGCTTGTACCCCTATCCATTCACTAAAGGGTTAAATTACAATTAAAATAAAGAGCGAAAGAGAGAAATTTTGACAATTCCTTTATTTGAAAAAAAATATCAGAAAAATGGATCCAACAACGTAATCCTTAGGTCAATCATTACGTCCAGCATTTTCCATGATGATGATGACTCGGTAAAAAAACCTGACATGACATCACTGCTATCTCTGCCCAATTGTTTACATTTGGCCGGCACCTGCCAGAGTCTTCCCGCAGGTCCTGGAAAAATGAAAACCGGGTGGAGCCGACGGTGACGTCACAGCCGGCTCCACCCATTTGTTGTAATTTAACGACAGCCCAGTGTCCTTAAATAACTTGAGGACGCTGGTCTGTCATTGAAGGACAACAACTGGCTCAGCCCAGTTCTCATATGTGGGGAAAACGGTCTGCTTCGACAGAGCCAAAGCATATGCGCTAGGCTGAGCTTTTCACCTCACCAACCTTTGTCTGCTGTACGGCCTAAGGCTGGTGAAGGAGCCAAAGGATCAGCTGAAGATACGGCCAGATCATGGGCTCCTTCGTGAATAACCCTCTAAGGCTCTATATGGTTCCACTATAAGGTTATAATGATTTTTAATGAGCAATTCACTGGGTTATATGTTATACCTGTCTTTGCTTTTAAATCAATCTTGTTTGAAGGGCTCTGTCAGATACTAATGACACATGCATATGTATGGTTGTCTGTGTAAACCACAACCTGCATAGAAATGCTTTATAAAAAAAAAAAGATCTGCCCATGACATATCATTTCTTGCTGACAGCTCTCATTTTTAAACAACTGTTAAGAAAATGGATTTTAACTCTGCCTAGTATCAGGATGGTAGCTGAAAGTTCAGAGCCAGGCAAGTGGCCAACACAATAAGGAGGATTCTCACCAAGTGGTCACAAATCTTAAACCAACTTTTGAAAGTATCTAAGTGAAATGATATGCATGGCTGCTTGGGTTTTTCCCCTGAATCAGCAGGTTGCAGTTTAGCTCTAAGGAACACACAGAGATCCATCATTAATTTACATTAAACTCCCAGCACAAGTCCTGCCATTCAGAACTCTTCTGCCCTAGTAATACAAGAATGGTATATTTACTGATTTAGCAAAATCTGGTCAAATTACATGTGGCAGCATCTTTATGTTCTGCCTATAAAGCGCTCAGCTTTATGTCTTGCTGTTTATAAGTCACTCACAGGGCTGTGTGTCATTATGGTCTCATTGCTGTTGGCTGGAAGTACATTATAGCTTATATAAATATTACAGGTAGGCTGCAATTTGAGTAATCAGCTGCTCGTGATTGACAGAAATCCACACTGTCATTTACACTGCACTGTATGAGCTGCACTGTGGCGCTTTTTATAAGCTGTAATAAATATGGTCTATCTGCATCCGCTTCAGCCTAACTGTGATCTTTAAAGAAAGAGCAAAAGCATTTTTTATCCATCTACTTAATCTGCTCCTGAATTTCTTTGCAACTGGTAAGACACAATATACATATGCTTTGCTCTACTCACTCAATATAAAATATTTACAAACTGTGGGATCTGTCTTACTTGACGTGTCCATCTGATTTATATGATCAATGACAGCATGCAGTAACCCTTAGCAACCAATTAGAAGTCTTTCACTGCTATAAAGCCAAACACTTACAAGAGGAAGAAATCTGACTGCCATGCATTACTATGGATAAACAGCATGCTGGATAACATTCTTAATTATGATCCAGCAACAGTTTGCTGCTGAGCTCTGTAGTGAAACGTATCCTTTGCTATAGTACCTTAAATGACCAAATATTGTTTTAGTCATAATTACTTAATGTAAATTAACATAAAATATAACCATTTTGCATAAAAAATGCAGTCCATGACTAATAAACAAGGCCAATAGCCTGATACTGAAATACTGGAAAAACCAGACCGGCCTTTCTCAACCAGGGTGCCGTGGCACCCTGATGTGCCTTTTGGCTTCCTCAGGGGTGCCTCAAAATGTTGTGGTAGTGGGGCTGTGATAGTGAAGGGGGGAGTGAAGACCGGTGTGAAGGGGGCTCCTAATGTAAAGGGGGAACTCTGATGTAAAAGGGCTGACTAATATAAAAGAGGGGTTCCTGATGTAAAGGGGCTACTGATGTGAAGTGGGAACTCTGATGTAAAAGGGCTGACTAATATAAAAGAGGGGTTCCTGATGTAAAGGGGGCTACTGATGTGAAGGGGGTAAATCTTGATTTTTTGTGTGTTCTTGCATGGGGTCGCCCTTAAAATCTATTACATTTTAGACTGGGGTGCCTCAAGATTTTGCATACTTTTAAAGGGTGCCATCACTAAAAAAAGTTGAGAAACACTGTTTTAGACCAAAATCAAAAGCAGAGACAATAATAAACTGGAAGTAAACTGCCAAGGTAAATTATACATTTTGGGCTCCCAGGAGGTGGATGCCATAATGTGCTAGTATGAACGACATATTAACACATTATGGCTGACTATCCTTGCAGACCATCCCCTCCAGTGCTGCGCTTTCACCTCTCACTTTGGCCGACGATGCTTTCCCCTTCGTCCGGTCTTCCAGGTTTGGCGTCTTTGGCTTCTTGATTGGCCCGGACTAGGTGTAAGGAGTTCCGGGGACGTCGGGCGGTGAGAGTGCGTTCCACTGTGGAACGCACCAGGAAGAGGATCGCCGCAGTCACGCCCCCTCACTGAGATGTCGGCCGATGCGTTCCACCCTGGAACGCGGAAGAGGCGAGACGTCTACGGGCTATTTAAACTCGGTCGCCGGGTTAGCAAGGCGTTCCTATATTGCGGATCGAACGCCCTGCTAAACCTGTACCCGAACCTGTATTCCGGAGTTCCCCCGACCCCATCCTACCCTCGGACCCTATCCTACCTGTGGACACCAGCTTACCTCAGGACCTGTCTGCATCCGGACATCATCCTACACTGGGACATCTGTCTACCTCAGGACATCGTCACACCACGCCAGCCTGCAGGCAGGATTCCCACCTGTACCTACTTATCGGCAAAACCGCAAGTACTCTGCAGCAATCCCTGCAGTACTCTAGAAACGTGTCCCCATATGGGAGAGACTGTATTAAGGTACTAAAGATTGTTCAAAGCTGTGCATTCCTCTCCTTGCTTGTACCTGGGACGAGGGAGTTTGAAG